TGTGAAATTTCCTTACTAAACCTCTCCCTTTCTCTGCCTCAGTTTTGCACTTTAAAATACTCCTTCAAAACAACAAATCTGACCATAAAACATTTTGTCACCTCCCTAACATCTTATTATGTGATTCTGGTCAAACGTTGCATTATAATACTCCCGAGGAACAGCTTGGAAGTTTCCATTCTCTGTGAAAGACACGACATTGATATAAATTAATTGTCATTGATTTGGACACATATCACAGTTCCTTCATCACCACTTGGTGAATAACTCCTCACCGAACAGCATTGTGGGAGCTACTAAGGAAATATAATTGCCAGCAGCAAATGCTCAGGCAATGTTCTACTGTATAAACCTTATTTAGAGAGTGAATGGAAGTAACAACAAAATACCTAGGACAGTCACACCCATTATTGAAGACAGAGGAAGTTAGACAATGACAGAGAGTTGATCAAGGAGAGCAGAGATGAACCAGAACAATGGATGGTCTCTCATTCAGCAGTGTTATAAAGCAACTTTTAACATCAGTCACATAATATAATATTATGGGGGTGACAAAACTCTCCCAACCATGTGCTGCTGCCTTAACAGCTCTATCTTCCCACATGAGCTCTCACAATGCTGTAAGGGAAGGAGATCCAGTTCCAGAGTCAGATATCCGAGAACAGCACGAGAAGCTGAATTGTGTAGATGACTGGTTAAAAATACTGAAATAATTTCATTGTGTTCCAACTTTAAAATCAAATGCTAGAGTCTACCCCTCAAAAGATATCAAAAGCACTGGGGTCAGAGGAAACTATCACAGTTCAGGATACCTAGGAATCAGAGTGATGTCACTGAGTAATTGTCCGTGTGTCATAACATCACTCATTTGAACAGACAGCATTTGGGTTTGCACAAACAGGTGATCTCCATGAAGGATGTGAGCGTCTGACATGTGATTCAAAAGGAAATTCATCAGAATGGTTAAAGAACTGAGGGATACTGGTTTTAAGGTCAGGTTGGAGAAACTCAAAATTGTTCTGCACAGTGCAAAGGAGATTGATATGACAGTTGATAAAAGGGGTGATAACACAGTGTGGACCTGCAGGAAAATTTTCTGATGAAGGGTCCCGTCCTAAAACGTCAACTTTCCTCCTCCTCTAATGTTGCCTGGCCGGCTGTGTTCCTCCAGCTCCACACTGTGTTATCTCAGATTCCAGCATTTGAGTTCTTGCTATCTCTGATTTGATAAAGGTGTCTCGGTTTATGATCGGTTTAAACCAGGTAGATAAAGAGCAGCTGTTCCTCTTCACTGATAGTAAAACTGTTTGGTACACAGATTTAAGATATTGGGCAATAGTTACTGGGAGATGGAAGAAGGAATTTTATGCTACTTTTATTTTACTCAATACTCACCTTTAAAGGCCGATAATATCCAGTGCTGAATGAATAAAAAGGCATGCTTAGATCATTTGGTTTGTGTTTCCGATCTGCAAATCTTCTTTTGAGATGCTGTAAAAAAATTTACAAAAGCCATCTCAGTCAGTCTGGGACACAATTTCAGAAGAAGCAAATATTTCTTTGATTTGGAGTTTGTTGTGTGTAAATGCTCCTCTCCTGACACCTTGTAAAAGCAGTTTATAAAATCTCCATTCCTCTCAGTCCAGGAGAGGTATTCACAACATTCGCTCCGCTGGCCCAGGACAACCGCATATGCGCCCTGCTGCCCTTTAAACTCCTACAAATATGGCGGCCTTTACCCGCGGCCTGCCTTTGAGAGAGAGCCTCGATTTTGACATTTTACGAAAGGGGATAGATAGTTTCTTTATACGGGGTCTGTCACATTCACAAAGTGTTTAGAAAGCCTCTCCGTCTGACCGCCCGGTCTATCGCCTCCTCCGTTCCGCCTCATTGTTACCTTTTGTGGAGCCGAGGGAAAGAACAGCGACTTCCCAGGGTCGCTCCCACTGCGCACGCTCGAGACTATGGCCACGCGGGAACATACTGAGCCTGCGCAGTGATAAGCAATGCAGTGCATAGCGCTCGGAATTCTGGGTTAAGTGCCCACCACAGTAAAGACTGCATTTTATTTGTCGTAATGTGTACAAGCAATCTTTCTCTTTACTTCCTACCAGGACAACTGACATATATTATACATTTTATAAAGTATAAAACGCGCCTTTTGCATCCCAGGGATATAATATCACAAAAGTCTGACACTGAGTCGCCATACACATTCTGGGTCACTGGGCTGCTTTCTTATTAGAGAGACAAAACTGGTGGTGGTTTAACCTGAGGGACACCACATCTCATGTCAGCAGAGAGGTTGAAAGTCGAGAGTCATCAGTTGTAACCTCAGGCGGTGTGGGATTTTATTCTACACTGTTGGCATCATGAGGAAAACTGGCAAACGGCTCTGAGAAAGAGTTTGGCTTTCATAGCTGTCTTCAAAGAGGAAAATGTAGATTTCATATGGTTGCAAACAGCAATGCTTCCTGTCGTTTGTTGAAGAAAGTGTTTTTGTTCTACTGATGCCCTCAAACATTGACTACCTATTTGGATGAGAACTTGAAACATCAGAGCAAATGAGGTGAAGTGCTAAGTGCTGGAAACTGGGTTTAGAAGTGAGATATTTGATGACTGGCCTAGATATAATGGGCTGAAGGGTCTTTCTCCGTGGTGTTAAAATCTCACTGACTAACGTTTTGCAACTGAAATGAAAGATCAAAAGCAGTTTCAAGACAAAAAGTTGCAAGAATTGTGCGCACTTTCCTTTTTGGGATTCAGCATTGCAACTGCTGTGTTCTCGATTTGATTCCGAAATAGGAATGAGCATTTTATTGTTCCTGTTGAAACTCTTAAAATGAACGTGAATTCCCGACATTAAAAGACATAAAAGGGACATCTCTGTCAGAATCAGTGAAAGTTTTACATCAGGGATGAAACCAAACAGGAGGAAGTGCTGAAATCTATTGACTTCACGTGCTCAGACACAGTACTACAAAAACAGTACTTGCTCCTTATTAAAGCATATAGGTTTCTTTCAGATTTAATATGATGGACACAAAAAAAAATGGTTTTCCTTCTGGGCAATCTTGCACCAGAGTGCCTTATATCAGAATGGGGTCGCACATTTAAGACAGATGAGGAAAATTTATTCTCTCAGATGGTGATGAATTGGTGAAATTCCTTACAGCAGATTGTTGTCAGGTCTGGGTCATTAAGTGTATTCAATGGTGAGATCGACAGATTTTTAATATCAGTAAAGGCATCAAGGGTTATGGGGAAAGGCAAGAAAGTGCAGTTCATAATTATCATACCAGACATAAGATCAGTAAATGGCAGAACAGACTGTATGGGCTGGATGGTCCCTTTCTGCTCTTAAAGTTTATGATCTTAATACGAGACTGTAAAGCTGACCTGAGTGAAATTTGCCAAGTGAACATGCATGGATCCCCTCTGGGCTCTGAACCGAGGTGAGATGTGCAAAGGGCAACACACAAAGGAGAGTCATTGTGGGTGATTGATCTGGAGTGATTATATACCAGGGTAAACAGTGAAAACCAGTCTTCAGAACCCACACTGGGCCTGGCTCCATTAGGCCTACAGTCAGCTCTCACAAACCACCATGGCCGTTCACTTTTCCTGACATCCCCTCTCTTCTTGTTTTACTCTGTTTGCACATCAGGCAATTGCAGCTGACATTGCTGATGTGGACCTGTAACATGCAGTGAAGCGATTCTGACTGGTCCATGACATAATTCTGCTTCGAAAGATTAGTCAGTATTTTATATCTATTACTGTAAATGTTAACCATTAAAAGGCCATGGCAGTGAAGGCACTGAATCCTCATCACTAGACTACCAGGGTAGATCTCTGTTCATATCACCCGAGACACTGTTTGATTTGTCATTACAATTTCCCGTTCTTCTGCACACGATTGCCTCGGCTCTGCGTTGGATTTGTCACATTGTCTTCGTGTATGATGCACAGGCTATCCAGTAATCTATTACATTGCAGTTTCTAATGCATGACTTTGCAGTTTAGTGGTTTGCCTTGTGGTCTTGAGTTGCATTCTTCCTGGGGAGTGAGAGAATTTTCACCACCTGCTGCAACCAACATCCGAAGGAGCTCTTTAAAGTCGTTCAAAATTATTTCTCATTAAATAGCGTTAACACCACCATGCCATTTCCTCACCCAGCCAGAAATGCGTTTGAAACACTAATTTCCTGTTTGTCCTTCCAGGTACTTGAGGAAGATCTTTCGGGAGGATGGAAAGCAGCTGATGTGAGCAATGTTCCAGTTAGGCAGAACAAAATGCAAAGTAACGGGGAAACAATGGGGGAAAAACATGGACAGGGGAGGGGCCGAATTCTTCCTTTCATTGTTGTAACCATACACTGGTTTTGAAGTCTAAATTGGGATGATATAAGCCAGATGGGTGAAATCCTTGCTTTCTTGGGGTTGGTCTCTCCTGAGGCCGCTGTCACTCTTGGGGCAATGTGCCTGTGTGTTTCCCTCTGTGGGTGAAAATGAGGTTCAGTTCCCTGAGGGGGCGTGAACACAATTTTACCATCTCAAACCTCAGTCCCATTCTTTGTGTCACTTGAGATTAAAACGTTACAGGGAAAAAGAAAAAAAATTTGAGATGAACGCTTGAAATGGCAGAGCACACAGGGCTACAGGCTAAGTGCTGGAAACAGGGATGATGGGCCTCTTTCCCTGCTGTACAAACTCAGTAAGTTGATTATTTTGGAGGAGAAACTTAACTCCAGTGAAAAAAAAGCCAAAAACTGTGTCAGTAAGAAAATAAGCATGCTTCTCCACTGTCATCCCTGTGGTGTTGACAGGGACATGAGCAGCAATAGTTTGGTGGACACAAGGTGAACAACCAGCAAAGATAATCACCGTCGCTGCTTCAGTTCAATGGTTCCCGCTTAGTGAAGCGGTGAATTTTACCGGCAAAGAAAACACATTTGTCATCAGGAGGCTGCTTCAGTGTCTCCTCTTTTTCTGCTAGTGTCATCATGAAGTTCCTTTCTGCTGTTCGACAAGCACGTCTGCTTCTCCTTTTCTTCTATTCCCATCCCTTCATTCCCAGTTTGGCAGGAATAATGAGGTGAGGTGGGATAAACTGCAGATTTAGGAGGGAATGTTGTGGTAATGGCACAGACAGGACGAGCTGATCACTCTCATTCTCTGCTGTCACCATTCATTCATCTTACACCAACAGGAAAGACATCACTATAATCCTATAATTGTGGTGGACTTTTTTTTTTGACGGATTTGGAATTTTATTTCAAATTCTAAAGATTCACAATCTTTTGAGAGAACAAATGTCTCGTTATCTCCGTCCTAAGTGACAGACACGAATGTGAGCGCAGTTCTAAACACTCCAGCCAGGAGGAAAAAGTCTCCCAGCAGCTCCACTCTCAAATTATCTTCAAATTTCTGACTTTAACAGAGCAGGAATGGGAAATGAGGGATACTGACAGAAGGAGAATCGGAGAACGTGAAAGAGGGTGAGGTGGATACACAGAGACAAATAGAGACACAAATTGAGGTAGACAGTGAAAGGACCAATTTTCCATTCAACATGGCTGCTAATTGACACAAAGGAAAAGAAAAAGGAACCATTTAAGCAGAGCCTTTCACCACCTAAGGGAACGGAAGCAGCATTAGAGCCGATGAAATCCCTTTAAAGTTGTAAAATTGACGGTGGTAAGCTAATGAGAGACAGCAATTTTGTTTAATAAGCTGATTTGACAGATAAAGCCAATAATTTACCCCGGCATTACACTACAGAAATGCATAACTAACCTGGTTCTGACGAACGGTCACAGGACCTGATACGTTAACTCTGTGTCTCTACACAGATGCTGCCAGACCTGCTGAGCTTCCATATCAATTCTTTGTTTGTGTTATACTTCCACTGTGCTTTGTTTTATTTTAATCTGAGTAACATGTGGGAATAAATAGTTCACCTTCCATCTCCTGAAGTATCAGTTAGAAGTGCTGTCACCACGATAAAATAACACAGCAGAGTGTGTATTCCCTGACTAGGAATCAAAGCTGGGCCGGGAGGGGAGAGGGCCAAATCCTAGCCACTGGACCACCAGTGAAAGGGGCAGAAGTTGTGGTACATTTTTGCAATGACACTACTTTTGCATTATCATTTGTGACCATTTTCACTGCAGATCAATTTCTCCATCCTCGAGTTTTTACAGCGTGGAAGACAACCATTTGGCCCATTGTGTCAGTGCAGATTATCAAACCTCCATCTATTCTAGTCCCTGTTTTTAGCATTTGGCCCATAGCCTTGCATGCTGATGTTTCGAGGGCAAATGGCAATGAGCTTATCCCTGTAATCTCAAATGACCACAAATGGGACTCAGGTTTGAGATGGTAAAATTGTGTTCATACCTCCTTGAGGAACTCATTCTGATTTCCACCCACAGAGGGAGATACACAGACACATCTTCGAGAATGACAGAGGCCTCAGGATTATACCCACTCAATGTGCCTCACGTCTGCTCTCTGTCCCCACACACAAGTTTATCTGACAAAAGGTAGCTTTAGGTGAAACACAAGCGACTTCTCCAGACAACGAGAATCGTTACCGTGAGCTGGGATATGAAATGGACAGTTGACTAAAATAGTCCCGCAAGCTGCTCACGTTCAACTTTTAATTTCGACAATTCATTGACCCAATCACTGCAGTTCCTGGGAATCTGACAGGACAGCACCCAGCAGACATCCCTCACTAAAGACAACTGACATAATGTGTCACAACATGGAATGGCCAAACCCCTCTAATAATTAAACTAAAATACAAGCTCCGATCTGTTATGAAAGGAGCAGAGGTTTCTGTCTAATAATTACTCCCTAAACAGACAGAGAAGCTTGCCTTTCCCCTCAAACTATTAAAAGAGTATTTAATGGAAAGAACATCCTTGATCTCTACTTTACAAGTGACAAGAAGCA